TATTATTCCGATCTGACATATGTCAGTTCGGAATGGACATAAATTCTGATCTGACATATGTCAGTTCGGAATGGACAGATTCTGATCTGACATAAATTCCGATCTGACATACAACACCTCTTCTTTTCTGCTCAATGTCCATGCATCATTCGGTTCAATCTCCAACAATTTGTTAAAATCACTCAACGCATTATCATACTCTTCAAGAACTGAATAGACAATTCTCCTCCTGCTCAATGCCCATGCGTCATTTGGCTCTATTTCCAACGATTTGTTAAAATTAGTCAACGCGTTGTCATATTGTTCTAGACATCGATGAGCCTCCCCCTTTCTACTCAACGTCCATGCATTATTCGGTTCAATCTCCAATGATGCTTTAAAATCATTCAACGCGTTCGTATATTTTCCTCGGTCTAAATATACGTCACCCCGTCTTCTTAATGCAAGCGCAATATTCGGTTCAACCTCCAACGATTCGTTAAAATCATTCAGCGTCAGAGTTCTACCCCGTAAATGCCGCCGCCCCCGCGGCCGCCTACTCGACTTAATTCTTCTCCACTCTTCTAAAGCAAGAGCAATATTCGGTTCAATATCCAACGATTGTTTAAAGTCGCTCCGCACATTGTCATATTGTTCGGGCTCTAGAAAACTGTATCCTCTTCTATACAACGGCCATATATCGTTTGTTTCAATCTCCAGAAATTTGCCAAAATCTTTCAGTGCATCGTCATACTGCTCGAGGTCTAGATAGACCATTCCTCTATGCTGAAATGTCTGCGCATGATTCGGTTCAATCTCCAACGATTTGTTGAAATCGCTCAATGCATTATCATATTGTTTGAGATCACGATAGATAGCCCCGTTTACACAATGCGTCTGCATCATTCGATAATATTCAATAATTCGTTAACACGACAATGTTTCAGCATGTTATAAACCGTCTCACAATCTGGCCGCTTACTGAGGTCTTCGTCCCAACATTGATATAGATTAATATATTCTCAGGAAATGGAGAATCACGCAAACCCTCGAGTCTATACATAATAATATCAACAACTTCGGTACGACCTCCGCATGGAAGTCTTCCACTCGATATTTCCCCTCACACCAAGACTAAAGATGTCGGATTTCTTCCCACGGCGGTATGACTTGTTCTTCAAAGATAACGGGTCCTTGTATGCTGGTGTGCCTTCGTCATGTGATTTAGACATTGCTTGTTTCAACAAGCTTAACAAACCGAAATTGGTTATCTTTGCTACACCTGATTTGATAAGAATATTACTAGATGACTAGATCCAAACGGATTGTAATCAGTTAAATGCTGGTAATTTCTAATGCCAGCTTGTATTTGTCTTCCCATGTTAAAACGTTAAAGTGTTTCTTCAGATGTTCACGTAGATTTCCACCGTCAGCCAGTTCGAAAATCATATGATAATTGTAATATTTGTCTGTATATAATAAACGCAAAAGTTGTTATTTGTACTTACGTACGCTGTGGTGTTTTTTTTATAATGTAACTAAAGGATATTGCACCAACTGCGTACCTTTATATACATCTAAAAAGCGAATAATGTTAGGATGGTTATTCGCTTCTCTATGATTTCTTAGCTAATGTATAAAATCACACAAAAGTTAGGAATATGAATGTGCCCGATGTGTACAGCAAAAGATAATATCAACCACTTTAACTAATTTCTGGTGCAAATCTTCGTCAGAATCGCCATGTTTATCCGGAAATAATATCTTTACCGCAACGGTCATGCCAGAGTAAATGTTCTGCTTTCTGCCAAAGATAATCGTAATGACATCATAATTTTGCTTGATCGTTGCTTTATAAACTGCTCCGATCCTCCAAGACCAATGTGTATAGGGTCAAGTTTCATGTCACTTTCTGGACAGCAGATAGAACGTTCTTGAATCCTTGTCTCTAATCATTTCTTGTACGAATTGTTAGATATTTGAGACATTGTTAAAATCGAATGTGTGGTACGGCTTGGTTCTTTTTATTACTTCTTTATTTGGTTTAAAAGTCTAATATGAGTGAAATAAAATTGGCCATTTTGTCATCCAAAAATAAAAACACGAATATGAACGCAAGTTGCGTAAACTGTCAGCGCATGTTCAAAAGGTAGGTGATAATAAAAACTCATTATTATTATCAGAAACATATTAATTTTTATTTTGCATAGACGTAATTTTGAAATGATCATCAGCTAGCATTTTGCATACGTCACTTTTATAGTGACGATTATCAATTTATCCGCAGCATCAACATGTTCAACCAAACAATCGATTACGGTTAATAAGACAGTAGTAGAGCCGCAATAACAAACAGAGCATTCAAACACGCTCTTGGACTCAATGTTATTGAACTGCTTGGCTTGGTATTATTGTTTGTGGTATTATTTGCATTATTGCCTGCACCTGTGGTGGTGGCTGCTGGCGGTGTCGTAGTAGTAGTGGGTCCAGGCGGCGCATAAGTAGATGCTAGTAATGAAAAAAAGAGAGTAACCAACAGGAAATTAGACTAACGGAAGTAGAATAAAAGTTTGACTTGACTTAAAGATACGATATCGCTTACGTGGGCCGGCAGGTTTGATATCAAATGGTTCTGATGTAGCCACAACATTTGAAATGTTGCCGATATTTGTAAAAGTGATTTTGTAACCTATAAAAAAGCGTACAAAGTAGAACATATGAATCAATGCGAAAAGTAAAACTGTTTACATCGGTTTAAATATAGTACCTTACCTTGCTGTACATCAGAGTTCATAAAGTTTGGCACGAAAATTGAGCAATTTTTTGTTGCAGTGATTACGTTATTGGCTAAAGCGTAATTTGTCAAGTCAGGAACATTCTATGATGACAGCAAGAGCGTCAGTGATAAGTAATGATTAATTATTGTCTGTAGTCATTAACATTATACTTGCGGGATTAGATAGAAAAACAGAAAAGGTCGGTAGGTCATTAGTTGGGTCGGTTGAATCCCATAGCAGGACTGCGGTCGTATTGGATACTAGCCAATACGCTGATGATGGGTACAGAATTTTGATCTCGGCTAAAACAAGGTAAACAATAGAAACAAGTTTAATGCTCAAAAAGCGCATAGTTTGTAGTCAGTCAACCGGTCTAAATCATACCTGTTACGAGTAGAACTAGACAAGCAAATGCTATGGTTGTCGCAACGCATTTCATGATGAACAATTGTGCTGTGTAGGGTTGGGGTATATAACAATTGAAAAAGGTGAAAGTATTAGATGTAGAAATCAGCTTATAAATAGAATTTGTCGTATTGTTGTTGAACAGAAAAACTTTGCGGCAAAGGGTAAACCTGTAATGGGAAATAATTTCGATTCTGGCGTTTTCTCGATTATGAAATTGATTAATACGGCATCACAATAAATATACCTCTTCTGAAAAGTGCCTACCTACTAAAAAAAGACATTTGTATTACAAATTAATGATGTTGTTCGACGTAGTACTTGGAATGCATAACTTGTTTGAACCTAAATAAAGCCTGACAATCCCGTTAACAACCCTTTATCTTTTAACATTTGATACCATTGTAGATGTGGCTTTCGTTGCACATTCGAAATGGCGGGGCGATCAGAGTTGTAACATCTAAATTTACATCACTTGCTTATCAATGTTACATCAGAGGATCGAAATTGTAATCGATAAGGATTTTATTAGTCAAACTCTGTTGTGATGGTTCTTTTTTTTTTTTGCCCTCGTGGTTAGCCCTGCTCGGTTATTAGTAATCGATTCGTCCGTGAGTTTAACTTTTTTATTCAACAGTCATCGTTTAAAGTCCAAGACGGTAATTGCCGAGTATTTTCTACCGACAACATACTGTAAATAATTAGGACAGTTAGGACAGTTGTAAGAAACTTGGATTAACCGGTAAAGTCTTGATATAAATCTGTGAACGAGTTAATAGTGGTTTTAGATTGTTACACAAGCATATCACCAACAAGATTGCACGTGAAACAAATCAATGCGCAGTAATGTCACTATCGATGTCACTCAAATGCTAATGTTTTAACTGATAAAGACATTATTTGTTGAGAGAAGAATAATTTATAAATTTTGCGGAATTATCCAACGCAATAAATTGCGAAAAGCCTATGAGCAATAATTTTAGCAATAATGCTTACAATCATTTATTTAAAATGCTAAATAGCTTTAGACAATTGTCTTAGATTGCTACTTACCTTAAACTTTTCTTTTTGCATCTTATCGAAACGAATGTTAACTTCATTATAACAAATAAAATTTATTAAGACTCTTGACTTTCAAAATATTCGAGGCGTATTTGAGTTCTAAACGTAATTATCCGCTTTGAAAATATTATGTCGAATATTGGTTTATTATGAGGGATGGTCAAAAACATGGCGAAAGAAAAAGTGTCGAATAATTTACTTGGCTACCGACCCTGATTGCGATGGCGAAGCGATGCTATGCTGCATGTTCAAAATTATATACGTTGTAAATGATATTTCAAGTACCAATGTCTTATTCTTCAAAAAAAAAAAGAAAAAGTAAAAGTGGCACTTGAGCTTTAATCAAACACTTACAACACATTGTACCTGTAATATGAATTCAACGTAGATATTAATGCATTTTCTACAGAAATGCTAATGCTTTTTTCGTTTTTATATCATACGCGGCTCTACGGTAAATAATTATTGTCCGTCAATTAACCTTAATCTACACAGATTTGTCTACCTCTAATGAGTATCTATCGGCACAATTCAAACAGTTTCACAGGTGGCAACTTGAGCAGTCTTCAACAACTACTTTTTTAGACTTTCTTTTACCTGTTTAATTAATTGAGTTTATAATATAAAGACTATGTCATGTTACTTATCAACAAATTACTTTAACAGCTTCTTACCATTTAGTGTCTACATTTTGTCCAGATAGATGTAGCATCTAACGGGTCGATTGCACCTAGTATTTGTCATATTGAGTTAGTAGCAATTAAAATAAGAAAGAGCAATATATGGTACGAGTAAAGTTACCAGTAGGGAAAAGATTATAGGCCAACAACGTTAACTAATATGATCTAAATTATACGGCTTTTCCTCACCCTTTAACTAGAAAATAAAAGCATAAACCGCAATGTTGTTGAAGACATTAATACGTGTACAATCAAGAACAAGTAACTTAGCTAATGTAATAAAGCTATTGTTAACGCATCTACTTAGTTATTTCGTACTATTAATTT